CACAGATGTTGAATTCACGTAACTGGAGGGAGGAGCATGGAATAAGGAATCAGTGCCGTGGTTCAAAGCCACAGAGAGACACCCCCCAACCAAAAAAAATAAAAATAAAATAAACCTAGCCAGTCAAAAGTCCCGGGACTGAAATCCTTCAAAGCCTTTAGTCTACAATTTTGCTAAAGAGATGTTCAGTGTTGGCATGGATCTCTACACATGCTACGGTGTGTATTGGTTCCAAGTCCCCCCATGGATGCTGAAAACTGCAAATATTAATACGATAAAGTCAAAATCCAGAAAAAAGTATTCTTACCATGTCTTACCAGAAGTGGTCACGAGAGGGAGGCAGAGACCACGATATTTTCTCTTTAACAAAAAGTATATAGTACATAGCACGTTCTCTGGCTTCCTCTAGTGGCCACGTCTGATAATACATGGTGAAAATATGTATTTCTAGGTTTTTTAAAAAATATTTTTGGACCGTGGATAAGTGAAACCACAGATACCAATCCCGCAGATACAGAGATTCTACTGTACTTTGATCTCCATCTTGGAAGGTAGGTAGACAGGAGGATATGCACACCTGTGTCACCACAACCTGTAACTCCCACATCCATCTTCTCATGTGAAAAGTTACCTTCCGTTTCCAAACCTGCAAATCGCATTGACCTCCGTGTATATGAGTTCCCTTGTCCGTCCAACCCAACCATAAGCACTACTAAATTCACCACAATTGGTTTCTGAGTAAACACAGTCCATGCTGTGGTTGCGTTCCTTTTCTCAGTTCCGTTTTAGGAACACGGGAAACTGGCTTACACCACGAGAGACCACTGGGCCATTTATTTAGCTCAGCACCTCTGCACTATATTCCAACAGGTCTCCAGGATTCTAGACAAGAGAGTTTTCTTGTCTGCGATGCTGGGGTTTCTGCATCCAAAGCATGGGCCCCTCCGATACTCCTGGCCCGATTCACTCGGTCCTTCCCCAAAAGCATTTTTAAGGCCAGTCTGCAGAACAAAGGAGGCCGATCCGCTTTGCAGAACAACATTTTCAGAGATCTTATGAGCACCCTTCCGTACCATGCCCCCTGTTCAATGGAGGGGCAACTCAAAACTGTTCATGCTTGCCTTCCTACCCACTGCGCCCTGTGCAGAGGAGAAAAAGACTGGTCTCGGAACAGCAGGATCGGGCTCCGCCGACACTGGCATCGACCTCACACCTATTCTCCAAGCAAATCTTAGAACGGCCAAGCTGGAAGAGACCCTTTGGATCGTCAAATCCAGCCCCTCTCAAACAAGGCCCCTTTGGGAATCAAACTCCAAATGAACGGCTGGCAAGCTCAGTGGTTTAAGTCTTCGGCTGAGGAACCAGAGGTTGAAGGTTCGATTCTCCTACTTGGCAAGGGCTGGACTAGATGATCCAGAGGGTCCCTTTATTATTATTAATTATTAACATTACTCAACCACTGCAAGAAACTGACCTCTAGCAAAAACTGCCCAAGATCATTCTCCAGTTAGACGGCGCAGACAAAATTCTTGCAAGGAATCTATCTGCTAGGGGCATCCGGTGACGTTTCCCTCCCACACCCCTGAAGAGGGCGAACCAGCCGCAGCCGGACTCCGGCGGGGGGAGAACATGGCCTTCCCCACACCTGGCTGAGGAGATTCTCACCTGTTTCTCAATCATTGTGCAGGGAGGGTAGTGACATTCGTAGTACGTGCAGGAGCTCTCCTCTTCCTCCACCACATCTCCGTTCGCGTTATAATAGCGCGTTACATTCAGCACGGGGAACTGCTCCTCAATGGGGTCTGTCGGGAGCTGCTGTATGGCCAGCCAGTATAAGCTCTGTTCCCTTCAAAAACAAGAAGAAAACACAGTAGGTGAATTGCTGATTAAGCAAAGGCGTTCAATGAACTGGAGTGCTCGGGGGGGGGGCAGCCTCTGGCCGTGGAACCAGAGGTTGGGAGTTTGATTCCCCCCCCCACAGGGCCTCCTAGACAGGGGCTGAACTGGATGATCTTATAGGGTCCCTTCCAGTAGCCACTTGCTACCAGACATTTCCCCTTCTTCAACCTACTAGGAGCCATGCCGTTTTAACCATATGTTTCAATGCAAGGTGTTTATAGCAACCCAGGGATGAAAGAATCTAGAAAAAAAAGAGGGCCCACTTTAAAGGTCAGGTCAGGTCTGCAGGAAGGAAAACCCCATTTCCCAATTTGCAACACACACTAGGAAAGCCAGGGGGCAAATCCTTCTCGCCCGCGCTAGAGGTGAAAAGGTTTACCTTTGTTTACTAGAGATTTCTTCGGCTTTGGGTCTCCAGCCCCACGGAACTAATCGCAAGTTGTCCAGACGGTTGTCTACCGTCACGGCGTTCAGGTGGACCACCTGGAAGCCCGGAGCGATGCCTCCACGGTGCCTCTCCCTGGAAGAGAAAACCAGTGGAGTAAAAATCAAATAAATAAATAAAATAAATCTGTCCCCTGTCCAACTCATTGACCTGGTTGGTTTCGGGACTGCCTCTTGGCCTCGGCCTGCTGGACAAGGGCCTCTTCAAATTGGGAGAGGCCACGATGCACCGCCTGCCTCCAGGCTGAACGCTCAGAGTAGCACTTGATGAAATGGGCCAGCATTTGAATCAGATCAATAAATCCCGCCAACTTTCCCTCCATCCACACATGGCCCCGAAATTTCAAGGAAATGACAAAAATACAAAGAGGGAGAAGAAAGAGAGGGTTTTGCCTCTGGTTCCAAAAATATTACAGGTTTGGAAGGGAAAATACCAAAAGGCAGAAACACAGAACATGCTACATCACATACACTATATGGAAGCCCACGCATTTCCCTCTAATCCTTGGTGTATGTATGAAAGATTTCTATTCCCATCAACTTGGGCTCCAAAGGTCTTCTTGTGGGTCACCTTTTTGTGTGGCACAACGGTCAAGATACGGGAGCCTACATCTAAGCTCAATTCAGACTCAGTTCTTCCCACCACCAGAATGATGATGGAGTCCAACGTGACACCCAGGACAGGCACAGCCCAACGTCGGTGATAGCAAGTCTGAGAGGCCAACGGCATAAGTCAGCATAAAGCACTTTTAATATATTCACATAGTGAGCAATATATAAACCCATGAAGAGGATGAGAAAGGATACTAAAGGTAGCCTAAATAATTGCTTCGCCTTCACACACAACGATGCGCAGTTGCAAAGGCTTAACATAAGCATTTGGAAATCTACCGCTGGCTGAAACCCATCAGTGAGTTGTAACTTGAGGATGCCGAGGGAAATGGTGGGGATTTCCCAGTTTCCGCTGATCCAATGGGTCTCCCTTAGTCATGACCGGTTATGAGGGTCCAGCCACCTCGTTTCCTTGGTCCAAGATTACCTACCACAGCAACTCATGCAGCAGGCGTCCAAAACCCCTTCCTCGGTTCTTGTCGAAGGCAAAAGCAAAAATTCTAGCACCGTTTCCATCTGCATCAACCTCCATTCGAGCCTGGTCAAAGAAAAGACAGCCCGTCAGTTCATGCTCGTGGGAAAGATGCTTGCCACCCAGTTGATTTCCAAGAGAGAGCTAATTTGTAACACACATTTTAAAAAAATCCCATTAAACTTATAAAAATACACAAACAAAAGGCCAGTAAAAGGGAAGTACAGAAGGTATGGGAAGATAAAACAAGAAACGCAAAATTGAATTCCTAGAAAATTAAAATATTATCTGTTTATAGCCTAAAACATGTGAACGACAGCGCCGTAAGAATAATATATTTGGAGATGCCCTCTAATGGGATGTCACCCCATGGGAATCCTTGTTCTCAATTAATGTCCACTTGATCCCAAAGGAAATTTTAAAGATCGGGCAAGTGTATAGTGAGTAGGTCCGGGCAGATGTAGCTCATAATGAAAACAGAAACTGGGGGAAAAACATCTTTTGTTCACAGTTCCGGAATTCTACTTCTTTGTTACCAGAGGTGTGGTTTGCTCTGTGATGTATTAAAAGGCACCGTAAACGAATCAGAGGGATCTTTCTTGACAGATACATTGGCATAAAAGATACGTTTGCCTATCGTCATATGGAGGATTTCTCTACATACAATGCCTGTGCCATGAAAACATCATCATCTTAGAACTTCCAAGATGGAAGGGACTCTATGGATCCAGATTCCTTCAAGGAGGCCCAGTGTGGAATCGAACTCCCAACCTGATGCAAAAGGGATGGGAATCCGACTCAGACTTTCCCCTCTTCTCTGACACTATCCACACCAACGTAACATGGGAAGGAACCCCAAACGTTCCAGATATAATCAAGGTTTGGGGCACCTTCCAAATTTATGACTGTGTCCCAGAGAGACGGCTCCTTGGTTTAAGGAGAAAGGCGGGATAGAAATTTTTTAAATCAATAAAAAAATCAGACAGCCGGCAGATTATAAAATTAAAGCGCCTGTGAGCAAGATTATGCCCCCCGTGCAGGATGCTGGACATACACATGGCAGTATAGGAGATCTATAACTTATATAGAATGAATGCAGTGAGGAAACTGGCTAGCAATATAGCAGTGCCTAAAGGGGAAGCTAAAGAGGAATAATCTGGCAGGTGGGGAAAAGCACATGAAATGAAATAGTAATGATAACAGTTATGAAATAGTAAACGCTGGTGCTCTCATTCGTGAAAGGGCTCCTCACAAGAGGCTTCTCGTCTTTTGTGTCTGTTGCCTCTTCGTGCTAGACCAGAAATCACCTGTTACCAAAGTTTTATTTGCAAAAACTGTGGCTTAAAAAAATTAAGGCACATGAGACTATCAACAGAATTGCTGGACTGCGGAGCCAGAAGCTGGGAGTTTGATTCCCCCACTGGGCCTCCTGGACAGGGGCTGGACTGGATGACCTCGAGGGTTCCCCCTTTCCTGGACTGCCGTTTCGAGAGGACAATAAAAAAGAAGAGGCTCCCGATTCTTACCTCAAAAGAGTAACTCTCCACCAGTGGAATGTCTTGTTCATCTATCAGGGTATATTTTGTCTGAAATAAGAGACAGCGAAGCATGAAATAACACTGCTAGTCCCGTTACTGCCTCGTAAACCCTACCGGGAACCTGAGAGGAGGCTGACGGACCTCCTTCAGGCCGCTTTCAAATAAATAGAAGCCTCCCCCCTTGCAAGGATCCTATGTGACATCACGGGGGGGTTCTGTTCCTGTGTGACATCAGAGGGGCTTCTCACTCCTCTCTTCTTTTCATCTCAAAGGGGGCTGAGGACCTTTTTTATGACTTGGGTCCTCAGCCCCCTTTTAAAAGAAAAGAAGGGGGGTTTCCCAAGGGTCCTGTGTGACATCACAAGGGGGTCCTGTGTGACATCACAAGGGGGTCCTGTGTGACATCACACAGGGCCCCTCATGGGGAAACCTTCCAGCCCCCCTCCTCATTGGAAAGGGGTCATGGAACCTCAGTCAGCCCCCTTGCAAATAAGAAGAAAAGGCCCGCCTAGGAGGCTTCCCCAGGTGGGGGGGGTCTCCGCGTGACGTCAAAGAGGCGCCGCGTGACGTCACGCAGGCCCTCCAAAAGCGCGCGGAGGGCCCAAGGGGAGGGGGGGTTGAGGAGGCCCGTCCCGGGTTCCCCCTTCCCTCACCTTGCCCGCCACCCGGCCGAGCCGCACGATGCCCAGCTTGAAGTCGGTCATGGCCTCGGCGGGGCCTGGCGGGAAAGC